TGATAACTTTGCAAGTTACTAACATCTCTTATTTTACTTTGCAATCTAACCTTGTAGGTACAAGGTACATGTACTGTTGAAATGACTTTGGCGCTGATCTACATGAGTACTACTTCATGCACTTGTTAAACTTAAAGCTCATTTTAAACTACCAGATTTTCCCATGCCAGCTTCTAACGGACAAGGCCATGTAACCACGACTAAGGACACTGATGCATTTTTACTGCACCAAACCCCCAGGCAGGGTTCAACATGCATCTCTCTATATCCAGTTCTTCCCAAAAACTCCACGTTTATGACCAAATTAAAAAAAAAAATTAAGATTCTGAGTAATTTGAAGATTATTCCACCATTTCGTGTAGTCGAATAAGTCGGAATTGTTTCAGGGTCATAACCAGGCTGAGGTCAGGCCAATTATCGTTTCATTTGCATAATGCCCTGAAGCGCTGGATCGATCACCTGCCGCGATATGCAGCGAGTTGAACCATATCTAGTTGCCAAGATCTTGTGCAGGTAACCAACCGTTGCATTTATGAAATTGCAATCAGTTTGCATCTAGCTCTGATGCCGGTATGAGTGCTGTGGAATGCTTGAGCAGCGTGGTTGGCTCCAGTATTGCCAGTGCTCACGATGTTGCAATCATACATGAAGGTAACTTTCTTAATTTGTCTTAGGCTGGCCTGGAGCTGGCTGTCTCGCAAGCCCAGGTTCTTGCACGTACTTCAGCTGACATACTTTAATATATACTTGCACTTTGTATTTGCAATTGCTTTTGATCACTATGATCATGCCCGTAGCCAAGGGGGGTTCAGGGGGTTCCGACGAACCTCCCCACAAGGCTCAAAGGTCCACTTTTTATCTAAAGGTTCAAGATTTTTCTTTAAAAGATGGACTGATTCGTGTCACCAGCGAGGCTGGAATCGTAGGAAATCTGCTCACTTTGTCAAAGTTATCTATGATTTTTTTCTTTGAAATCCTCTAAAAAAACGCTGGAAATGCCATTTCAGAAGGTTCAATTTTCAACATTTCCCAGGGGAGCATGCCCCCAGAGCCCCCTAGGGACCTCGGGCCTTCGGCGCTCGCCTCGCGCCTACGGTGCTCGCTGGTCCCTCAAGCAGTGGGAAGAACCCCCCCCCCCCATTCAAAATCCTGGCTACGGGCATGATGATCATGTTAGACTGTTAGGTTGTGAAGTTTTAAGTATAGCTAGTAACTAAGTAACAAGACTTGCGAAATGATGGCTCAATGTAAATATTGATATTATGTATATGTACTATATTGGCTTGCAGAGCGCCCCAGCAGGCCAGTTACAAATTTTGAACTTCAACTGTCGTGACTGCAACTTGCAAAATTGGTTTTGTTTCAAGCTGGCAAATCATTGAGAAGTTTGTAAAAAGTTTTCAAGCATTCAAAATTTGCCTTTCATGCTATGTAACACTAAAATTACAATTCTTTCAAGCCTGTTAACATGTTAACTCCACCAAAAGCTCCAAATCTATAGCCTGCAATTTAAGTGCAAAAAAATGCAAATGAAACCCTTAAATAAATTTTTTTGGTCCACCTTTCCAACAGAATGGTACAGAAGCGCCATCTTTCATTTGGTTGTAAAACTGCAGCTGGGATGTAGTGATTTGCAACAGTTGAAAATCTTCTGAATCAGATCATTTTATAACAGTACTCCTCCCAGCTTTATTAATTGAAAGTTGATATCTTCAGACAGCAACATTTATTATTGAATTAATTTAGAAACCTTCATTGTATTGTTTGTTTAAGATTTTGAAGTTAGATTAGAATTTCTGGATTTTAAGAATTCCTGTTTTACCGACACTCTGCTTTTTTTTGTGTGCTCATAGTGTTGTTTTTTTGGCATGATTACAATTATACCAGTATGTCATCTTTAAGTACTTCATCATCATCATTATTAACAAAATCATTCTTGGGCCATTTTTTCTCTACTGTCTATCATCAAATTTTATGTACGAGTCAATGATGAAAAGCTAATACTCACAATTAATTGTTATAATTTTTGTAAAGAGCATGCATTAGCTACTCATTATCCTCAGGCCTAGGGCTCGAAATACCTGCATATTATTAGTGATACTAGTAACATATAGTACTAGCATGTACTTTTGTGCATCCAAAATGCGAGCTGTGTACCTGATTTTTGACTGTGGGTGTACTTGACTCAGGCAAATATTTGCTTGAAGTCAGTCCTTAACTGGTATTGATTCCTCCATAATTGTATTCCGCTCAGTACTGTTCAGACTGAACAACATTTTACTCCACCATACCTGTCATCATGTAACCAATTTGAATTCATACTTTGGGCGCCAGCCGCTAATTCTCCTTTTTGTCGCTGTCTATCGCTGATGTGACAGAACTCAACAGACCAAAGCAATTTCCTACTTTGAGGCACTGTCTCTTGAATACTTCTTTTTAAACTTTAATAAAAGACATCTAAAAGACATCTAAGAGCTCAAAGGTTATACAACTGACGTTTCCTCCAAATCCTTCCTTAAACAGTTTCGTTTCTTACCGCTAATCGTGTCAGTGGTAAATCAGTGCTCCTCCCACCAGTCTCACCTATCAGATGAACTCCTCAGGATAGATAGCCTTATCTTTACTGCCAGGCCCAGAAAGGACTCCAAGAAAGTCGATGAAAAGCTTAACTTGCGAAGAGGCTTGTGCAGGTAGTTCGCCTGTAAGCCAAAGGGCTAATAGATACATGTATGTGCATAACAATTCTATTGTTGTAAGCTGGATCTGTATTTAGTTTTTGCAAATTTTTACTACGCCAGTCTAGTGATAGATAGTGATAAGCAGTATTAAGTTAGTAGATAAGGATTTCACACTTGCTTTTGAGATTGGGAATTCAGATATGAAGATTTCTGGAAAGTGACTGAAAGAATTTCTGACCCACACAGGCATTATATTCATGGATGAGTAAAATTGTATCTACTAGAGGTCTTTACTCCTTCAACTTTCTCATAACCATTGTTACATAAACCAAGGACTCGAGGTTCCTTGCATAGACTCAGTTCTCAGAAAATTGTTTTGAATTCCCTGCAAAAGTAAATGAAAGTTTTGATTGATGGCAAACATCTAGACGAATGATTGTGTAAAATTCCTTGAAAATACATTTATAACTTCTAAAGAAAAGAAATTGTCAACTTACCATCTGAAATGATCTCATTTTTGTTATATAAAAAAAGGCACCAGTTTGTTTTAATTACATAATTGTGCCAGTCACAGTCCATATATTTGGTAATGCAGTTCTTTATTAAAATTTAACCTGTTATTTGATAACTTGGGTAAGTGGTGCATTTGTGTGTGAGAAAATTGGTATTATGTATTATGATGTAGTGAATATGCATTTAAAGTTGATTGTCATTAATATATGTATTCAACTTTGATAAACAAATAAATGTACTATAACGTAATAGAAATATGAGGAAAAAAAAGAAATTTGCAATTTGAACACTCCTCTTTCATGGATGAATTAGGGTGTAAAGATGCTGAAAATTCTGTGTAAAGATGCGGAAAATCTTGGCAAAACCTTGTCTGTACTTAAGGATTACAAATATATAATCTATTTCAATGTAATCCCTGGATTATTTTATAGGTCAGCATTTTCCTTCCAAATGAGATTACAGGTACACTATACTTAATACATGATCCAAAAGGTCATGCAAAATATCATCTAGGCTTTTAAGCATGGATTTTTAATGCAATGCGGAGACTGTTTTGAATTATTTATTTCAGGTCACACACATGTACATGTATCAACATCATAGCATGAGGTCCTAAAAATTTCAATACAAAGTTCAAAAACATGTCTCAAGAATGTTTATGTGTGAAGATATGTGAATAGTCAAGTTGATAAACATCAGTTTTTTTGAAATGTGAAAAGTTTTTGTGAGAGGTCAGATGTCAATTTATTATGAATACAGCAGATTAATCTACATGAAACAGTGCAAAACAAGAGCAGCTAACGTATTATATATATGTCAACAGTTTTTTTTTCAAATTATATGCAAATTCATTTACAGTGTTGGAAATTGAATTTTGAGAGTACAATAAATTGGTGATAATGAAATTTTATATAGATATTAATTTTTGGAAAGCTGCTTAATCTAGTAAAATGCTATTTTTGCCTGAGTACTGGAATAACGTTCTGTTCATATTTTGAAAGCCCGCTATCAGCCCACTGTACATTGATGTAGAAGACCTTAATTGGTATGATCCAGTTAGGAGTGCAAGCTGACAGCTTGTAATGAAGACTTGAAAGTAATTGTCTTCGTTAAGAGGGGCTCAAAATGGCTTGTTAGCCGCTAATGTCAGCCAATTGCTACAAAATGGATGGATCCACGCAACTCTGATGCTTTTAGATGATAGTAGCTCCTGGGGAAAGTGCTTCCATTGGCGGACTATTCCATCCCAGGGGAGGGGACAAAAGATGCTACCATGCGTCAAATGTCAGAGGTGGACCTGGGTGCTAATCTCTTCATAAAAGGTCCATCAGTGATGCCTGTAGACATTCAAAGTCTCTCCTTTTCAATCTCAGAAAAAAATCCTCTCTGAAGTAAAGTGGAAGACTGCCACCTCCTCCCTGAAATCCTACCTCTGGCTTTGTTCACACCGACTCTACCAATCATGCCTCTTCACCTGTTGAATAGGGCCCTTTTTTCCCCCCCAATCAGTGCATCGAGGGCTTTTAGGTTCACTAGACACACATCTGGGTTCCCCCGGCTTCTTCGCCGATAACCCATCAAGGTCAAATGCGCCGGGCTTCTCCGCGCGGAGCTTAGTTAGAGAGACGACAAATTTTCCCTGCAGGGCAACCGAGGAAGTTTCCTCCTCCGTCCAGAAGTACTTGGACCACACGGCAGTACTCGCTGCTACTGCATCACTTCCTGCTCGCTCCACTCTCTTGTCCCAGTTTTTTTCCCTCTCTCTCTCTCTTGCGTAGACAGATAAATCGTTGATCATGCAGCCCGCTGCGATGCCGTCCTGCGCGTACCAGGACGACCTGTCCTTCCTGAACCTGTACGAATCGTGCTCTTACGGACAGTCCTCCTGGTATTTCCCTCTAGAAAACCCAGGGATGGTGGGAGACAGCCTACCGCCTATCTCATCAAGTTCATGTGCAGATCATCCCTCACAGTACAGCTCCACCAAGGCCAGCAACATGTTCGAGTGAGTACAACTCTCATATTTCTACCAATCCTTGTACTTGTGTTGTAGTGAGTCACATTTTTTAAAACCGTTCTTTATTCATGAAAGCTCAAATCGGCCTGCAAGCACCGCTTTTCATTGAGGTCATGAAGAAAGAGGTCCGGTAAGGGTCGGACAAAATATATCAACAAGGGTATACGTACAAGGTAAAGTTTACGTCAATCCAAGTACTACTGGTATATACATTTATTTTTACATGTACATGGTACAAAATATATTCACAAGAGTGGGACTTATCTGGTGTCTGCTTTGTGAAGAATCATTGTGATGTATTTTACTTTCAGAATATTAACAACTAATATTTTGTAATTATATTATCTTTATTGATTTATCAATTATGAGTTATGAGGAAAAAAATTATTAGAGCCATAGTGGGTAACCTTTAAGAATCTGTAGTAATCTCCATGTAATACATGTTTTGATATCAACTTAAGTAAGTGTTATAAATTAACATTATTCCGGGATTGGTTATTGCTCTCTTGAGGCCTTTGAAAAGCAAATATGCCGACTTCTTATCGCTCAAGTCCTGGACTCAAAGGATTCTAACTGGGCAAGCCGCAAGCGGCTAGATTTTGGCAGAAAGTCACTCAAATTCTTATAACCACAGAAGTCCTTATAAGATTCAAACTTTGTGTATTGATAGCTAAATGTGGGCAATAACCAATGCTGGAATAGAGATTGAAATAAAAGTAAGTTTAAAGTCAAACTGAAATTCATGTGTAATTTCGAATTCAATTTGAATTGAAAAGACATTTGAACACAATATAAACATCAAGCCAGGCCAACTAAATTAGGGCATAATTTTTTGCTACGTGACAAATGACTAGTACCGGTCCAGTTATAGATAACGTCTCATAAACCAAAAAAGGCATTCCAACATTGATCATACAAACACCTGTTGCCATCACTCTGTAAGTTGAATTGATTGTGGAAAAATGTTGGCTAGTAAAACAGATGCCTGAACTGAACATCTAGAAATACTGAAATTTCACTTTCAGTATTTTTAGATGAAATTCAACATGAACTGGTCTTAGGTAGCATGAAAATTATAATAATTCTTATTTGTTGTTTCCCGCATTGACACTTACAAATGAATATTTATCAAGCGTTTCAGCATGTTTGCCCTTATGAGAAAACCTCAATATAGATGCGTGCACCTCAGAATAACACCTTAAAATAGCATGCATATGTGTCTTTGTACAATATGTACGACTGTATATTTCTAAGAATTGTATTATACATGTAATGAACTAATTTGGTATTTTTAATAGACATGTAGCATTTAATGAATTATTAGTTTGTTGATTTTATACTTCCGTCACATCCGTCCTTCTCACAGACCAATTCTTATACTCAACTATATGTGACAGCTGTTTGCCTCAGCTTTAAGTTTCTATCTTTGAGGATGTTCTATATCGGTACTTCCTTTGTTTTTGAAAAAACCTTTCATGTTCAACTTCAGTTTTCATCTGAACAGATTTCAGCAATAATTTGTTATATGACTATATTAGGTATATCGATTTTAGATGCTTTTGATATCGCACCTTTGATGCGTCATATCACCTTGATGGCTTGGAAGGGTATGCCTGACTATATAGAAAGCTAGCGGCTACTACATGTAGATATGGGGCAGTGCCTTTCAAGTTGGTAGTATCAAATCAAAATCAGTGTTTTTGCCGTCATAGGTTTCCTCCCTGACACACAAAATGTCATCTTGCTTTTTGGTGCTGTGCTTTGATCTTTTTCCATCATTTTATCTTCACCGTACTAGCTAATCTCATACTATACATAGTCATATGGACCAAGCTTGGTTTTCAATTTCAATATACTGTATGTACCAGTTTCTAGCCAGCGTCCATGTTGCTGTCATTTAACGAAATTTTGCTCCTCTTGATGGACAAAAATTGCACCCAATCTGTCATATTTGATGGATAAAAATCGGCGTGTAAAGTTATGGAAAGAGATGTCATCACACTAAGCTTTGTCTCATTTGCCCTTCAAAATGCAGGAAATTGTGTTTCAAAGGGTCAAGATTTCAACATTTTCTTGCGGATGCATGCCCCTGACCCATCCTAGGATTGTCCTATCAAACAAACTTGAGATGACGGTAAAATATTCAAGACGGCTAAAACGCTGATAAGTAAAACAAATTATTTTTAGTACTACTACTACTGCCACATACCCCCATGTGTTGCAAAGGTTACGTACAAAATTAGCCCTAATCCAACTGTGAACGTTATACCAGCTCCGTTTGAACTCTGTTCTGCATTGACAACTCTGGCATATATAGCCTCTGCCTTTGCATAGCATTAAGAGCTGTTGCTTTATTCAACAAGAGCTGCTGTGTATTCAATGATGTTGCTTTTTGTTCATAAACAACTCCCCCACACATCCCCCACACATTCTGACATTTGCAGATGTACATGATGATTGTGTGCGAAATTGTATACAGGATGGAATTTTACACCGGCAGCACTTGGGATCAAGTGTTAGCGATGATTACTGCGCTGACGCACAGGACTATTGACTCTGAGTAAAGTTGGGACCAGCAACCCCAAACCCCAGCTGTTTGAAGGATATCATTAGGGTCTGTCCTGAATACACTTTTCACAGTTTTGAGTGACAGGTTTTAGGTTCTCTTATCAGTCATACATGTACCTAGCCCAAACAACAATACCCAAGTGACAATGGTCCAAGAATTTTCTCGTCTTTCCCGGAATTTCTCATTATGTGCACTGCCTTGTGTAATCCAACAAGAGGATACAGATGCGGTAGTGGGTAAAATAACAACTGTGTGTCACAGTGGCAGACTCTGAAGTCTGTGTAAGCAACACAGTCATTGAGTCAATGTAGTTGTTTTTTTTCTGTAACATGTTGGCAGCTGTAGATAAGTTGTATAGTTGGCATTGGCTGTTAGCTTTTTATAAACAGCATTGTACATCTTGCTAGAACAAGCATAATATGTCGGTGAATTTAGACATCAAGGTAATAGATATATGCCAAAAAAAAGGTACTCATTCACGACAAGCAACTGGATGAATTATGATTTGGGAAACGGTGAAGACGTTTCAGGTAGCATCCACTACCGTCTGTATCCAGTTGCTTGTGAGTAACTGTTTCTTTGAAGGGTATGATGTCCTTGGGTAAAAATCCGACTGATCAAAGTACAAGCTAATTATCAATCATCACCATGAAATGCTTATCTGATGAAGTATGAAAACCATTTCATTTACAGGTTATACAGGGCTCGGAATTCATTTTTGGGACTAGGTGCACTGATGCAAAATTGGGTGCACAATTTTTTTTTTTGGGGTGCATCATATAAAGTAAATTAAGAAATAGATTGGGTGCACAGCTCCAAATTTGGGTGCACTATGCACCCAGTATTTCAAGTACTGTTATAGAATCTGTCTTGGGATGAAAATGTCATAAAATTGACTCAATTTTATGACATTTTCATCCCAAGACAGATTCTATAACTGTGCTCAATTTAATTGAGGTATAATTGGAGTGTGAAAAGAACTGACCAATAACAGCTGGTGCCCCTCTCTGTCCAGTCTAATTAGCTGAATGAGAATTAACCATGTGGAAAATCAGCCTCATTATCCCTGCTTAGCTGTATTAGAAGAAAGAAGACAGCCTTTTGTAATGTCCTTTAATATGCAGATTGTATTGAGGGGAGATCGGCTAATGCACAACGTGTTAAAAGATATGGGAGCGTAATTTATGTATAAGTTTCACAGTAGCCATGCAGGGCTGCTGAGAATGTGTTCAACTTTGTAGCTCTAACAGGTGGTTATGTAGGTGCGGTGGATGGTGCAACTGAGTGTGTTTTTTATTGAACAGCTACCCAAAAGTTCTTGTAGCGTTGGAAAGCTGCGTTTAAACCTTCTGGTCAGTCTGGTGGGTAAAATATATAGTTGTCTGTGTGTCATTGTCTGTATGTAAACTTTAATTAAAAAAACTGCTTAAAATGGTGAAACTGATCCAATGCAAGTTTTTGTACAATGGTAAACAAATATGCACCACAGAGTGTTACTAGTACTCCCACTAACTTGTCATTTGAACAGTGAAAAATCATTTTTGTAGAAATCCCTGGTGGTCAAATTAAAGGCTTGAAATCCCAAAATTTGCTCCTGGGCCCTCCCAAATTGTGAGCGAGTTCTTCCCCCAGGTCCGATCACGAAGCTGGGCTGACAGAAAAAAAAATTCGGTCGGCTACAGCCCTCAGATGTATACCAGTGAGTCAGTGAACCCTGAAATTGACAGGCTTGTAAGATGCTTTTTTGCTTCCCTCCAGCCTTCCCTTCCAGACTTATACACCAGGATATCAAATACCCCGCCAAAGGGCAAATCAGCTGTCACAGCACTTTGTCTGTCACTTAAGCAGGGTTCAGCATTTTAGAGGGAACTGGAAGCAAAATGTCAGGTGGATCGAATAAACTTCCATTAACCTGGCTGGTAGGAGGGGGATTATCCACTGGAAGACCAAAGCTAATGGAAGATGACATGTTGTATGTGCAGGAGATTTTTCCCCCCCACAGTTAATGGAGTAACAGATCTAGTTTTTGGGACATTCTGCCTTAAGGAGCTGACATTGGGAGGATGTTACCCTGGGTGCACACTCAGTAGCGTGGGTGCGCATCGCCTCTCGTTTTAACTAACCTAATCGACATACCGCACCGGCTGATCTGTGGGAGAAGAAAATGGAGTTTTTCCAGTACGCGCCCGGTGATCCAGGAATTCCCGATGACATCTTTCTCGTTCCTCCGTTGACGAATGAGCTACAAGCGAGGTTTGGTATCTTTTTGTTTAAGTTTAATGTCCGTAAATTCTTACATGTAGGTATAGAGGAAGGCTTGATGTACTGTATATAGTGTAGAGCCTCAGCCCCTTTTCAGGCTACGTTGTATACATGGAAATAGAAACTGGTAACCATTCTCGCAGGAATTAGTTTCAGTCTTTATTGGAGTTAAGAAATCTTTATGCAAATTTGCTTCAAAAAACAGTTACACAAGCAACTGGATAATGTTGGAAATGGTCAGACGTTTCAGGTACCTGTAGCATGCATCCACACGATCGTCAGTTACACTGGAGGAAAAGCTAGAATTTTGAGGTTTTCGAGATTTCAGATACTGTTTTTTGGGTATCTTTATTAATTACCTGGATGTCTAACCTTTACATATCAAAGAGAAAATACAGTCGGTTCTTTTATCCATCAGATAGAAAGTCAGCTTAATAGGCTTGAAGCAATGACGTGTTGACCTTTCATGTATCTAGAAGAAAACACTGAAATCAGAAAAAATGACCTGCTTACATGTACATTGTGTGCATGGTACTAATATGCATGATGTGCAAATATCATTGCAGCAGCTACATGTATACAAATTTTTTACAGTTAGAGCTCTCTTGCAAAAACACAGAAACATGAGTTTGTCATTGTTGTCTGGTATCCACCTGCAATTTTAAGTGTTATATAAGTGTAAGGCTGCCTTGGGTCATTGCACCAATAATGTTGTGTAATACCAAGGAGGCCAGCTTTGGTGGTATCACGTACTGTCAAGTGCTTCTCAGAGGAAGCAAACTTGGACCGATGCCTGGCTACTCCAGGACTCTCATTGTCAACTGAAAAAGTCAAGGACTTCATCAACTACAATGGACAAACATCATCCTCAGTGTGATACAGATATACAGTGACTATATACATGTATCTACATGTAATGAGCCATTGCTTACATGCACTTCAACTCAGTTGAAAAAGAGTCTTTTTCATCTGAACCTTGGTTCTGTGCGTGACTTGTTGCACATCTACATGACTGTTTATCTGTAGTACATGTATATAGAAACTTCAGATGTGTATAGGTTTTTATGCTCCAAACATACATGTAATGTGACATTCTCGTCATTCTTATCAAATCTAGAACGTCAATGCCACTATGTTTAGAACACAGTATTAGAATTTAAGGCGGAGCCTACATTGTATCCTTCTCCTTCCACCACTTTTTACCTTCCAACTGAAATCATCAGGTACCCATTTTACACCTGAGTGCATGGGTGGAGTGAGGAAAGTCGTGTAAAGTCTTTTCCCACAGACACAACGTACTCCCTAGCCAAAAATGACAGGAGTCGAACCTGTGGCCTCTCGATCTCGTGTCCGGTAGCGTAGCCCCGTGTCCGTTGATCACCACTGTGACAACGGTAACGCCATGTACCAAATTAGACTGTGGGCTGGCGTACGTGCTGGACGTTCGTTCTCTCAGCCTTTTTAAAGACTTTTTAATCCTCCTTAATGGCTCACAGAACTTCCTGCACATATACGGACATGTAGGCCAGCCCAGTCGGTTTTAAAAGAGCACAGTCCCTACATGGTTTGCATGGACATGCCTGGTGCACATACTTTGCCTAGCATGGCTTTTGAAATCAGTAAAACTCAGACCTCAAAACTCAGCATTTCATGTCTTTTTTGACCTGTTTCGCCTCACAGCATCAAATGCATTAACATAATTTGTACATGAGCATGAAAATAATTTGCTTGCTGTGTTCCGCCAGCCATGCGTCCTTGCGTCTGTACAAATGTGTCTGTATATGAATATGAAATGAAACAACCACTGTTTGAAGATCAGCCACAGATCATTGAAGGTCTTCAGTAACAGTAAAAGAAGTAGCTGTTCTGATTGTAATTTGATAACCTTCAAGTTGGTTCTGTCTGTAGTTGTCAACTTGGTACAGGTGTCTACTGGCTTTTAAGCCACTGTGACATTGTATATAATAGTAAATATTAAAATAAATAACCCTTAGATCCAGTCTATACGGGCACTGACAACTAGAAGATATTTTGCCAAGATATCGTATGTATCAATCCATGATACATACATTTGTACATGTAGGAGAAATGAGTACATATATATGCCACCTTCGTTAAATAAATTAAGTTATTTATAAGAGAAATCAAAGCTCTGACGTACATTCTAGTCTAAGACTTTGATTTGGTTTACTAAAACCTTCAGGCAATACTATAAAAAGACTTCAAATTCTCAGCTTCTCTTGTAATGACGTCGTTTCTGACATACTACATAGTGTTGCTTTCTTTCCTCCGGGTATAGAAACTAATAATCAGCCGTCAAGCTGTTACGAAAACAGAATTGCCAGTAGTCATTATAGAAGGTGAAAGCAGAGAGACCTTGAATAGAGGGTGAACAGTATCTTTCTAGGGTTGCAGTTGTACTAAACTGAAAAGGACAGTCACTGTTTTTAACACAGCCAAATGCATGATTCATTTAGTAATACATGTAGTTCATGCAGCTTAGTTGTTTAATCTTGCATTAAAATCACATCCATTGAATTGTTGACATTTAGCTGACCAATTGGCAAACTATTGCAAAGAAACTAAGATATTATCCTTATATGTGGGGTTATGGTCTTGTTTACAATATAATTAAATCAAGCATGATAGACATGACTACTTCTAAATACTAGTTAACACATTTGTCTAATCAAAGATGTGCTTAGATGTACTGCTTCTTATTTTGTTGTAAGTTGTTGTCCTTTGCGTGCTTGCTTACATGTACATTTCTAACAAATGTGACTTTTTCCCTCAGCAGTGCTTTATCAAAATATTTTGAAGCATTCGTACAATAATATTTGTGAAGTCAAAGCCATGACATTTTAGTCCCCACCTCCTACAATAGAGGAACATTAATTCTTTGCACACAAGAGCTCTGCTTGTAAAGGTGAACATTTTTCTTGTCCGGAAAGCTAACATCCTGTGTACGACCGTACATGTGTATGTTTCAGCGGTATGGAGGCAGACAGCCAGATGGACATGGACCGGATGGACCAGTCTGACACAGACAGCCGCAAAAATGTCAGGTGAGAAAACAATGGGTCCTACACACCATGCAGAAACATTTATAATTGCGAGCAAGGCAGGGTCAACTGCAGAAGACAGCTTGAATGATTATTTGAGTGTACATGTCTTTATGAACATTTATGGCTAGTTTCATTGAGTGTGGTGCTTATAGGGCTCTGGCCAGCTCAATTTTTTTTTTCCGTCAGCTCAGGTTCATGATTTACCTGGTGGTGGAACACCAAAGGTGCTCGCAATCTAGGGGGGTTACAGGGCATGATCCCCGGGGAAATTTTGGATTTTCAACCCTTCAAAAATGCAATTTCTGGCATTTTGAGAGGCAAATCATGGGGTCAAGGGTGTTTGTTGGTGATCCTTTGGATGTCAATTTTTTAAAAATAATTATTTTTACCCAGGATTTTTGTCAACTTTTTTGTGTCAAGGTTGACAGATTGGTTTGAAAATTTTTCTGTCACACACCACAAAGTTCCTGCGATTGACAGAAAAACGGGTGCTGACTAGAGCCCAGGTTGTGCTGTACATGTACTGTTGAGAATGACTGACTTGGACTCTATATTTTTACAGTCGACAGAACCACAGCGAGATCGAGAAACGGCGGCGAGACAAGATGAACAGCTACATCATGGAGCTGTCGGCCATGATCCCCATGTGCAATGCCATGTCCCGCAAACTGGACAAGCTGACCGTCCTGCGCATGGCTGTCCAGCACATGAAGACACTCCGAGGTAAGGAACAGCACTGGGGAACAGCTGGGAAGGTACAGCTGCTGTTGATGTACATGTATGTGGGGAATACTTGATACAACAACAGTTGGGAAAAATTAAAAAACACAGATTGATACTAGACTTGACACTTGAATTTATGTTACATCTAAGGGTCAACACTAGTTTGATTTATTTTGTAATCATCATTTGACTGTAATTATCATTATAATTATCATTTTTAGTGTACTATACATGTAATAATTGTATTTGTTATTTGATTATATGAATCACAATTAAAGAACTCACCTCTGATTTGTAGCTGGTGGCTGACAAATCTGTGGGACTGAAACGTAAAATAAAAAAAAATTAAAAAAAGTTTGCACCCCATCCACCAATCTTGAACACATATAAATCAATTTTGCCAACTGTGCCTTCACTTCATCACTCATATACAAGTAATAAAAAAAAGCATCAATATATACTGTAGCTGTAGGTACTATATAGGTTAGAATTATAGTTAGTCCTTGTTTCATGGTTTCTGTGGCACCTCATACGAGGATGAACTGAAATGAACTGATACTCCTTGACATTTCAATCAACTATAGAATGTAGCAATTTTTTTTAGTCCAGCAAAACGTGACATGCAGTAAATTAGACTCCCTTGGAGACGATCGACTGTATACAATTATAATAGTGCACAGGACACCAGAAATCAACATGCTGACAGTAAAAAGTTGCCCTCCTTTGGTTTTCGTAATTGGTCGGAACTACGTAGTGGTTTTTACACTATTCCTTGAGCTCACTTGGTGTTCTACAGCCTTGCTACAAAATTAAACTGGACGGAACTTATGTACTGGTATTGAGGTTTTCCATAATGTAAAATGGTGCATCAACATGCAAATTACTGCCCTGGAGTGCATGATGATAATTTGGTTTGGCTCAGAGCCAGTCACCAGGCAGCAATTACATTTCAATCCAGACAGGGAAGGCAATTAACATGGCAGACAGAACCGTACAGATGTACATGTAGACATAGACTGATGGAGCACCAATTTTGTGCAATCAGTCAATCCAGATGGTTCTCTCTGGGAAACCTTACATGTACTGAGAAGAATTTGTGAAGTCGATTCCTTTGCTGTCTTGCATAGAAGGCTCACTAGTTTTTGTCAGACAGTTACACAATGAGAAAAAAGTACAGGATATGCCTCCTGGTAAAGGTTACTGATATTCAAGGACGGAAGGATATAAGATGCTTTTCTTGTTTGAAGGCTCAGTGAATTTCTTTGTCATTTTTTTTCGCTAGACTAACAGTAATGAGAAATGAGTACAAAATGTATTTGCACTGGGCAAGGTTGCAGATACTCATTGCAAGGACAGCAAGGACACCCAAGCAAAAATGCTTAGCCTACTTTGGACATGGAATTGCAACTCTCTTGAAAGCTATCTGCATCAATCATTCTTCATTTTGCTTTACACTGGTTGAACAAGTCCTCATACACTCAGACAGCAACTGCTGAGGGATTGTCAAGCAACTAAAAATCTCATTTCTTTGAACAATTGTCAGTATATTTTACTGTAAGTTTACTGAAATGTTTATTACCTGTAAATCATAATGATACTTCAAATTTACATCACAGACCATACAATGCGTGTAATTCAATCTTATCATTAATTAGTCACCGGTCATAAAAATCAGATTTTAGTCGCCCATTGGTTTCCATTCAGTGGAAATGGGGCCTTGTACATCGGATCCATTGCTACAGTAGTAGTACATGTACATGTATATCTTCTTTATGTGAAGTATTACCTGCAGTATATACATGTACCTGTATAATTATGTATGATGAAGTGATGATGGTGTTTTGATATCCTTTTGATCTATTGCAGCTTAGATTATGTGACTAAAATCTGAGACAGCTTTAGTGCATGATTGGTTAACAGACTGTACCGTATATATCTTTTTTTTACCAACAGCAACTGCAAATCCCTTCACCGAGGGCAACTTCAAACCATCCTTCCTGTCGGAAGATGAGCTCAAACATCTCATCCTGGAGGTAAACAACATTTTATGACCTGTTTACATGTTTAGTGTATAAATTAATACAATAATATTGAAGACGATTTCCACTTTATGATGTCATGTCCAACATATGAAGAACAGACAAAGTTGATACAATCTACATGTACAGCTGTCTCCAAAACAAATTATACACCGCACCATTCAAAACCAGATATCTTCAATTTGCTCCTTTTATACCCTACTCAAATATCAGTGTACATTGGAAAATTCATATACGAATCATAATAAAAGTGACACCATATTGTAAATAACTGACATCTCCTGAATTATAGAATTATCACAAAGTTCCCAGCTTGAACTTGTACATTTTAGGCATTCTTGTTCACTACAATACTTTGCTTTCTTCACCATTGTATGAGGGTCTGCATGCTCTTTTCCGTAAGGCGTAGGCGGCCTCTTTATAATTTCCCGTAATTCGTAGGGAAGTCATTTTATTTACCGTTATTCGTAGTGAGGAGGCGAAAATTTAGCGTAAAACGTTGCCAGCCTTCCGGAAATTTAACGTAAAGCGTTGCGGGCCTCCATAAATTTAGCGTAAAGCGTAATCAGGACCCCCCATGCAGACCCTCTTGTATCAACTACATACAATGGTCTGTCAAGGGACTACATGTATTTATGTAGGTAGGTGAGATGTACAATCATGTAACTAGAATGTCTGGAGACAAATTTACTTTCTGTCAAATCGGAGGAAATTGTCATGCTATGAATTTGTCAGCAGGGACCACCTTGGGTGTATGATTGGCCGGTAATTGGCAATACATCACCCCAGACAATATTCTCTGTCTGGTACAAACTGACAAGCAATTTCCGCCATATTGAGTTAACTGTCATTACGTAGTACATGTCTTGCTGCCCAGCGATTGGCTGTTGACTAAAGGAAATTAGCTGCGGTTGATTGATTGACAGGCAGGTTATGGCTGTGGGTTATTCGGTAACCCCAGTTCAGCTGAAAGTGTGTTATGTACCAAAACGTACAATGTATTATCCCTGGTTCCTCAAATTAGTGATTCAGAAATAAAGTTTTAATTCAATACTTTTGTCAGTATTTTAGAAATACCCATCTGCAGTCTGCATTTTGCAGACTGAGACATTTTCAATATTGCAGGAGAAAAACAGTCATGCAATTTTGCAGACTGAAAATATCAGGCTAAGGATTCAATAATTTTGGCAATATTGATGTTGTTTTTACCATTTTTTTTACCATTTATTATAAGTCATCTGTGAAAAAATTATTGTTGCATTTTGGCATCATTTTATTGTTTATCTGCTTTGATTAGATATACATGTAATAGCCTCATGGACATTAGATACAAATGTATGATGAAGTAGTATAGTATGTGACATGACATTGTGTTTTGACAGGCGGCAGATGGTTTCCTGTTTGTTGTGAGCTGTGACCGTGGCAGGATCCTGTATGTGTCTGAGTCAGTGGCCCGAGTGCTGAACTATAACCAGGTGAGATGACAGAAATAGTAAGCTCGCACCATGCATACAATGTCATTCATTTTGGAGGAATTATTAGGAAATTTCGTTATACTTTGCCCATCTTACGATAATTTATTATCTACAAAAATTCTTTTGATGCTGAAATCATCCAACCAATTTATTTCTCTACCAACACATTTGATATTCCATATTCCACTGCCAGTGGAAAAGGGCTCCAACTCATCAAAAGCAAATGTAAGACTAGAAAGGCCGACATTTGCTTGGGAGCAAATACAGCATATTTCAGTCCATCTCCCTCCCACGCAAAAGTGGACTATTCCAAACTTACCCCAGTGCAAAACTGGCAAAGGTTCTCAAATAAATGAATTAAATAGTATCTGTATGAGAACAAAGATGCAACAACAAATACTTTGAATCTCGAAAGCTTTACTAATCTTATTACAGGTATGCAAAAACTAACAATGATGAGATTTGATACATTTTGAAAGTCTATAGGCACATAAAATTGAATGTGTGGGTCATTACGCACGACTTTAGGTGCAATGTGACCTCAGGTAACCCCCAATGGAACACGTGTTCCATGGATGGAACCGGCCATTCTTTAGATAGAACATGGAACGGGTATAGCACTTTTGGCCCTTTTTTGCTGAAAATAGCCATTTAAGTCCCCCAAATGAGTCATTTGGAAGTGGTGTATGCCAAATATGTGACTGCTATTCTGTAGACACATGTTCAAGGTACCCTTATACCGAATTTCAGATCATTTGGTTGTAAAACCAGGGCTCAGGATCCAAAAATCCATTTTTTGGCGAAAAATGCCCCAAAAAACCTTCATAAAAATTTTTCAAAGGCATGTATCAAAAAAATGGAAAAAACGCCTGGGGGTATTGGCCCACTCTACCTCCATGCCAAATTTCAAGTCATTTGGCTGAATGATGGCGGAGTTGACTCCCTTTGACTGTTTGGCAGGAGGAGGAGAAGGAGGAGAAGAAACATGAGAGAACACAATATATTTCATCCATACCATGGTATGGACTGAAATATAAATAGCTTTACTATAGTACTGTTGTTACCTGACTTTTATTTAATTATTGTCTCCCATCTTCATTTTTTTAATTAGCTGACTGCTGCCCACCCCTGTGTCATGGACCACTATAGCTACATGTACTATGTACATGTACTATATATATCTTTCTGGAATATTCTGTAATAAGATGGATTCTCATTAACCAATCAAAAGTCATTTTATTTCTACTGGTAACATGACCTACCAACCAACCAGGTAATGTGTTTCTTTCCACAGAGAGACCTGATGGGTCAGAGCTGGTTCGACATCCTCCATCCCAAGGACGTGGCCAAGGTCAAGGAACAGCTGCTGTCCTCCGACATGTCACCCAGAGAAAGACTCATCGATGCTAAAAGTAGGTCCCTGTTATATTACGTACAATGACATTGTGTAGTATGTGTGAGTCCTACAATTGAAGCACTTATTATTACTACTGTGTTTTAGCCAGCCTGAATTTTTTTTTCGTCATCTCATTTTTGTTTGACAATTAATATTAACATCATCTTTGGTGTGAGGCATCATTAAATTATTTTCCATGTTCCTCAGGAAAATGTTGAGATCTTGACTCCCTGAAACACTGTTTCCTGCATTTTGCTGGCAGACAAAGCTTAGTTTAATGTTATTTCTTGCCATATTCTTTACATGCCAATTTTTGTCCATCAAACATAATTCCGTCATGTTCATGTAGACTGTTCATCGGAGGCATTCAGTTTTGACCACCAATTATGAAATTTGTGCTATATCGTCATTACATTAATTTTTTGCCTCGAAAATTTGCCGAAGTATCTTTAAAAAAGATTGTCTTGTTGTGGTGATTTTCCTGTAGCTGGTCTCCCGGTTAAGGCAGATGTTCCGCCGATGCCGTCGTGCCTGTGTTCGGGGGCGCGGCGCTCGTTTTTCTGTCGCATGAAAACGGGGAGAGTGGTGAAGGAGGAGAAATACAGTCCTGACAGTGTCACACCCTGCTCTAGAAAAAAAGGTCAGTACATGTATTCTGTAGTCTATCATTCTATTGGTAGGAGTGTTTCTACATTGCATTTTACTTGACTGTGTGTATTTTACTTGTTTTTTGTGTACCTTCAGCAGTCTATAGCAACTATATAATCGGCTATACCGATAGAGCTACAGCTACAGTTTGTACTAAGTACCTATTACCAGCCCAGAAGAGAACAAGAAATAGCCAGGCCTTCAAGTACCAGATTTATCAACCAAGGTGTTCAAAATGACATTCTTTCCCAGAACTATCGCAGAATGGATTGCCAGACCACTGTATTTAATATATTCATACATCTTATTGATATTAGTATATAGAATCTGATGTAAAATTTAGATGTTCGTTCATAACAAAAATGACAGATTTGCACCCCCCCCCTCCAGCAAAGTGTGTGCCTACATTTCTGTTTTAACCAGACTCCATAGCCATATGCAGGCAATCTTGCGCCAAGGACAAACCAAACTCTCATGCAATTTGAATAGTAATGGTAGGCAGAATGTGAGCTATTTTTACAACATGCAGGGCCCATTACATGTACATGTACTTCGAGGGATAGAGAGGAATCAGAATATTTAGACTCAACACAGGTTTTTAAAAAAAAGTCTTCTTGTTATTCTTATGGCTGACTGAATGAGGTGTTCAGGAGACAATTAACGATGCTATTTCTGGTGAACTTCAGAGAGATAATTGTGTGATGCTATTAAAAAATGTCTTTATCTGTACCAGGTGCAGTAGATTAGCTCTCATCACTCATTAGCCATTCTAGTGGGCTTCTCCAAAAAGCCATTAAAATAGATTTACCAGTACACTGATGATACAACTGGTTAGAAATGGATTAATGGATGTCAATCAAAGTCCATTGGACTATGTTTTTTTTTAAATTGACATAATTGCTGATCAGGTGCTTAAAACCAGGCCAGTGTGAAATTTTTCTCTTTATTGCTAAATAGAAAGTTTAGTCATGAGAAAAGTGTAAATTTCATCACGCATGTCAATTCTACACTGTATGAACAGTTTTTTTCATTATTTTCCCCAATTGGTACATCAAAATTGAAATTATAAAATCAAAGCACATGGGAGCAACTATATAGGGAGGCCACAAATTTCCTACTAAAGAGAAAATATCATCACCTAGAACTTTCAACTAAGGCAATCTGGTCTTCCTCGATCAGTAGACTTGTCAGTTAACCCAGTGAGACTTGTCACGTGGCTCCCAGTTTGACGTCAACACTGGGTCAAAGGTATCCGGTAAATGATGTTGTTGTTGTTTACCAAATTTTTTTTTTTTTTTTCAATCTGTACAGAGCGCAAGCATTATGTAGTGATCCACTGTACGGGGTACCTGAAGAGTTGGCAGCCCTCCAAGATGGGGATCGAGGAGGATAACGAGGCCGATAACGAGGGGTGTAACCTGAGCTGTCTGGTGGCGGTGGGGCGCACGCAGGCCGTGGCCAACCCCGGCATCGACAGCGCCAACATTAACGTCAAACCGCTGGAGTTCGTGTCCAGACTCACCATCGATCACAAGTTTACCTTCGTGGACCAGAGGTGAGGGAGCTACGGAGGAAAGGAGAGAGATCTGCTACTGATCCACTACTGTTGGTTACTGACTCAATTACTGATCTGCTACTGACTGTCAGTTACTGATCTGCTACTGATCCACCACTGTCAGTTATTGACTCAATTACTGATCTGCTACTGACTGTCAGTTACTGACTCAATTACTGATCTGCTACTGACTGTCAGTTACTGATCTGCTACTGATCCACTACTGTCAGTTACTGACTAAATTACTGATCTGCTACTGATCCACTACTGTTAATTACTGACTCAAGTACTGATCTGCTACTGATCCACTACTGTTGATTACTGACTCAATTACTGATCTGCTACTGATCCACTACTGTTGATTACTGACTCAATTACTGATCTGCTACTGATCCACTACTGTCGGTTGAGAGCTGTAACAATCCTAGAGGGGCATGCTCCCCCCGAAAAATTTGAAATCTTGACCCTCTGAAAAGCTATTTCCTGCATTTTGAGGGCAAAACTTTGGTAGTAGAGCAAGCTTAATTTAATGACATCTCTTTCCATATCTTTACCGATTTTTGTCCATCAAAGATGATGGACTGGGCAAAATTGTTAATTGTCCATCAGATTCAGTAGCGGCAAAATTCTGTTAAATGATGGAAAGACAAAATTGCCATGCTTAGTTGTTGGGTGTGATTACCATAATGGAGATAGCATTATATCTATATATAGCGCTGTGAATTGATGTACATGTATGATGACTTTATCCATGTTACATTGTTGCAGAGCCACCACCATCCTTGGGTACCTACCTCAGGAGCTGTTAGGAACCTCCAGCTATGAATATTACTATTATGAAGATCTGCCACATCTAGCAGAGAGCCATAAAGCAGGTGAGGACTGGCCTGGATACATGTAATAATTTTGATAATGTCTTCTGAATTTAGATTCTTATGTGATTAGAAAGTACAATTTGTATGAGCCACAGAGAATGTTTGTTGATTATATCCTCCTTGATGACTTCATTTTGTAAAGAACGTAAAGAAAGTAAAGAACTTGGTATTTTGGTCATAGAGAATAAATTGCAACATTTACAGTGTATATTGAAATCAAGAACTGAAATGTACAGTTAATGAAATTCAGGACAGTTGTGGATCAGAAGAGCCACCTAGGAGGGAGGATATGTACTGCAGCTACAGCTTTCTACTAACACCAGATTACTGACTCAAATGTTCATTGATTAACTGCTCACCTGCTAACCCGGACGCCTGTAGACCTTGATTAACTTGTCAAGTAAAAAACTGGAATTCTTTTCTAAAATCTGTCCACATTAGACATTTCAATATTGATTATTCTGCTGACTTGTGCTGTCTTATTTCACAAGTTGTTGTTTGTACATGTATTAAAATTTAGAAGTTCAATTTTATAACAAAAAAGACAGATTTGCCCCCTCTTCTCAAGGAGAGAGTTATTTGCTAAATTGTCAACAACTGTAAAACAAAGATAATTTGTGGCTCATAACTCACTCACTCACTATCCAGGATTTGATTATTCTGCTGCTGTTGTTCCTGCCAAAGAGGTCGGTAGCAGTAGTACTGGCTAGTAGTACTGGTCTTCACACTACACCTCCAGGCAGCCCTATCCAGTAGGTTAACACCAGCAAGGCCGCACTCTCTAATGTTTTTCTTCACACACTCTGTCCAGGTCTTTTTCGGTCTTCCTCAACCTCTGCTGCTTGGCAGCTGCAGTTCAATGATGTTATCAATACAGCCACTGGCACGCTTAATGTGCCTGTACCATCGTAGTCAGCGGGACTGCACAACAGACTTGATGTCCTCTAGGCTGAGCTTAGCAAGTAAGGATGGTCAGTGAGTAAAATAATGACTCATGATGAGCGCTGCTTTTTCTACAGTTCTGACGACGAAAGACAAGATCCTGACGTGCGTGTATCGTTTCCGCGTGAAGGACGGACGCTTCATCAGCCTGCGGACAAAATGCTTCAGTTTCCGCAACCCCTGGACCAAGGAGGTGGAGTACATCGTCAACACCAACACCGTCGTCGCTCCGTATGTCTCCATTTTCTCTTTGAATCATCAGCTGAATCTAAACTCTTATCATACTATTATGTGTCGTGTACTTTTCATATCTTACATACTATTTGTTGATCTATTTTCCACAAAAATGAGAACCAAAACAAAACATATTTTATAATGTTTAACTTTTTTGCAATGTGCATTAGATTTCGTAAAATAAAAAGTATTTTCCTCAGGGAACTGTAATAGATTAGAATACAGTGTGTTACATGTATATCCTATTGACAAAAAATCAACCCATCCTTTACTCTACAGAAATGGAGGGAATACTCCAGTATCAGCTACCCCTGCCACACTAGCCAACATGGACTCTCTCTACCACTATCCTATGGAAGGTACAGTCATATCGCTCACAAATCAGTCCCATAGTACAAAATACTAGATCTGTCTCAAACTTCAGCAATACAATAATGGCAGAGAGCACAGCCCTGCTGGTTTATACACACTTATGGAGGTTTTACATGACATCTTTTGTATGTTATCTATTCCCAATATTAAGGAAACAATGCCCCACCCAGTTTGCACAGAAGTACACTGACTTAAGTGTTAATTGTGATCTTGGTCCAACTTTATACAATGTAGTACAGTTATGAGTAATTCTGTGGTCTGTAGAAAAATAGGCAACAAGTGGTACTAGGGCTGCGGACCGGTACATTGTACCGGTCCAATACCGTAAAAATCGTTTCGGTACAGGTCCAAAATACCGGATCATGAAGTAACGAGTATATACCGAAATAGCTAGTTTACACCATGTATATGACTAAAGATAGGTAAATCCTACCACAAAGACGAAAAATTAGCACTGGAAAAGACGTAAACACCGTCGATTGATTTGAGATCCTCAGTCTCACGAGACATCGCGAGAGTGTGGCTGATCCAGGGTTGTGATAAAGATACTGACAAGTTGTCAACACTTTATTATTGTTTCTGTGTCATGATTGAAAAAGTGAAGAACACGTGTTAATTTGTCAAATTGTTCAGGTACAGGTACAGGTCCGGACCTGTACCTAAACCTCTGTACCGGTACCTGTACCTGTACCTGATGTTACGTTTAGGTACGCAGCCCTAAGTGGTACATCTGTACACAATTTTCATATTGCCTTTTTGAGACATCCCTAATCATCAGTGTACACATGAGAATTCACAGTAAGTGATCAGACATCTAGATTCAACTTTAATGTTTCACCTGTAGATGACCTTATTAGATAGTTGATAAGATAATTACCTGCTGGCATTTGTCACCCCAGGCTGATCATTATTTTTTGTCTGGTAACGTTCAGCTGGGAAACAGAAGGTTCCATCTGTGCCGGGGGTGCCAGGTGGGACGCGACCAGGCGCGGGAAAGATCGGGCGACAGATTGCCGAGGAGATCATAGAAATGCACAGAAGGTGAGGGAAGGGACTCGACTCATAGCCCCGATTCACATGCGGGCAAAAAAACTGACGGTACAAAAACTGTGTACACACACGAGCGTACAAAAACTGTGTTTCACAGTGTTCATGTATTATGCCACAGAACCTCAACATAAACACAGTTGTAAAAGTAAATAGATTAAGAGTTACTGTTACAGTATCAACCTTTGCATATGCGAAATATGCAAATATGAAATATGTATATGCAAATTGACACCTGTTTGGTGACATTTAGTCTCAACAATTTTAATAATATTGCCACATATATTATATTACAACCTTTGTTATGTTATCAGTAATGCTTACTAGTAGGTTGTTGATTCATTTATCAGTGCCATAATGACATTGTACAAAGTCTGTATCAGTGCTATTATACATCAATGTTTAAACTGTCAGGGTGAGATGATGATGTGTGGATCTCTCCCCCCCCCTACAACCCCCCCCCCCTACCCAGCCGAGCCTCCCCCCTCCCAGCCACGGAGGCACCCCCAGCCCCATGGGACTGGAACCTGGACAGAACGGGGGATCTCCACACACACCCATGATGACCTCTCCTGGCAAGGTAAACAAACAAACAAACAAACAAACAAACAAACAAACAAACAGATGTGCACATTTATGTGACTGTACATTCAACCTATAATGCTGACCACCTTTGCAAAATAAGCCTTGTATTTATGTCTGTTAACTATATACAATGTATATCCCCTGATGATATTACACAAATTTCTGTATGTGCAGCTCATTATAGAATTGCAACTATAATCACAACAAGCTACGATCTACTCATCACCACAGTATAGATGATTAAATGTTAGACAGTGCTACAAAACAATGTATGTATTCATCAGTGACCTTTAACCACGTTTGAAAAATCTTGCTGGTCCTTGTAGAACACTCCTTTCATATTCATATACTATTAGGTGGTAGGGTCTTGTTGAGCTCCAAGCCTGTTTTCTGTGCTTAAAAATAATATTACAACTTACTGAAGTTGTTATATTAAGTAAGTTGACACAAATTACTGTAAACAGTTCTCTCCATAAAACCTGTGTAAGGCCCTCTAACAGGAGTGTTCTGTTCCGTAGGTGATCCGGGGCAGCCCTGGCACCCCTAACCTAGTGGCATCTCCCAGTACGAGTCAGCCTACCACCAGTCAGGCATCAGAAGGACAGCCAGCCACACTTTCTCCAGGTGGGGGTTTACATTGTACACTGCATCTGACAAGTCTTGTGGCTTGTAGTCACCTAGCTATCATAGTTACAGTAGCTGTTGCAATCATCTAATGTGCCTCACTAATGCTGCCACTGTTTTGAAAGTCTGTTATGTAATCTTTCTACATTTCTAAGGCTTAAAAAGTCAAATGTGAAGTGCCAGCCATTTGAAAATTCTAACCTTGACAGACCATTGATTGAACATGGACATGTATGTATGTATCAAGAATTTAGCACATGTACATGCAAAAGTAGGAAAGTGGTCTCCAAAGGTCTCAAAATCTTCCCAGAAGTCAGCAGAATTAGTGGCCAACATGGGGGAAATCAGGAATACATGGATTGCATGCTTCTTGGGATTTGTGATTTTTTTTCTCAAAGTAAGTGCCATAACTGTTTGACATGTTGTTGAACCACAGGTCAGCAGGAGGCGGACACTGCCACCCCTGCCGTCCCGCGCACACACCCCAACGGCCTGGTCATCCCGCCCACCCTGGCCACCAGCCTCCCCGACATCTCCATCACCGCCAGCGACCACGGCTTCCCTCCGGAACTCGACCCCGCTAACCTGGGGGGGCCGGAGAACGACGAGGCCGCCATGGCCGTCATCATGAGTCTGCTGGAGGCGGACGCGGGACTCGGCGGGCCGGTGGATTTTAGCGACATCCCGTGGCCGCTGTGACGAAGACATCGTGGTTAGAAGCCATATGAAACTTTGGAAAGTGGAACTCTGTCAGGACATGATAATCTGTATTCGGAATCAGCTGCCCGGTCCGGTCAGCATAAACAGTTGCCTGGTCTGAGGGCGGTTATGTGGGTTTTGAGTATCATATGCAGTGGAGCAAGCTTTTCTGTGCACGGTTTCACCCCCTTGCAGAAAGCATCTCCTCAGATACTCAAAACCCCCATAACTGCCCTCGGACTGGACCGGGTGGCTGTTTACGTGGACCGGACCGGGCAGCTTGTTCCGAATACCCGATGATGATGTCAACTCCAGAAAGGACAAGTCGTATCTTCCAGGACGAACAAGACGGAGTCAGAAAAGGCACGCAAGAAAATCATGACAAGTTGTAGAAATTTTAATGCAGCTGTAACAGTGAATTATAGAACTTCCAGATTGCTACGCATGACCGCATGTCTTAACTTTTAGAAGAAAAAAAAAGTGATGGAAATACGTATCTTTAAGTATATTTAAAATAAAAAGAATTAATTCTGCTCCAGGGATGAAAGGTCTGCTATCAAAGGTGATCCTGAAATGGTGTTGCTAAGATATCACGGCTCAACATGAATTGTCTCTGATATTTTTAAAGAGGAGGGTACATGTACATGTATAAAAGAAAGTTGATATTTTGTCAGAAGTTGTTATGTCAGGACAGGTAAAGCTATAACATGTACAGGTAGGTTTCAAACAGTGTGATGCAATACCTGGTATGTTGGGTGTTAGAAAACAGAATTACTTTGACTGTCATCAACCACATGTATACAGCCTGCACTGTAAAAACTGCTCTGATCGAAAAGGCTCTAGTCTTGATTTAATTTTGAATTCATTGAAGAGGATGTAAAGTTTTTTGTGTCGGTATTTTTTCACTGTTGAAGGATAACTAATTTTATTCTGTAATTATACTATCAACATCAACTGGACTATTGAAGATGTGATTTTAAACTGTAATAAGAATTTGCAGGATACAATGATGGAAAAGTTTGTTAGAAGCAGCTGAGATTGTGTTTCACTCAGCCCCAGACAGTACATTGTATGCATGGTTTTTAACTTGACACTGGCTAGGCCTGTAAAAACCTCATATTTATTCCAATTATTGCACAACTTTCAAACCACAAGTTTGTTCGTATTTTCAGGATTTAAATATTGGGATTTGTATGCAATTAAGTTTGGTGAAATAGTGAGGAATTTTTATTGTTATTTTGTTTATTGTGCAGGTACACCTATTGATTCAGAAGTAGAAATGTAGATATGGGATAATTCATGTAGCGGTATATTATATGTGTAATATTTAGGTACAAGTCTTTCCAAGAATCGGGATCAAATTGCATGTAATGACTTATATGATTTCTACAGATGTGCTTAAAGCTTGCATGTAGAATAGAAACAAACTGATCTTTAGTGGTGAGCTACATTAACTGTAGATGGTCGGGACTAGTGTAAATGTTTAGAAATACCACAGTAGGCAACATTTTATATAACACCCAACAAACTGTCAAACTTACAAGAAGAAAACAACAAAGAAGCAATCACAAATGCAAAATATTATTTCTATGATTGACAGATACTACACTACATTGTACGTATTATGATTTAGACATGGATCAGGTATGTGGAGTGAGGCCAGAAGACAAGTGATTGACTTGAAAGAAGTATGGTGTTAGAGAAGAATTGTGCCATACTGAAGTGTTTTTGAATTCTCAAAACATATTGTTTTGTGCAAAGTGTGAATGTACGGAAGATTTAAAGACATTGTGCATAGTGTATAATTGATTGTTGTAAATTGTTGAAAATGTATTTTATTTGTATCAAGTTTATGCATGGTTTTTAACTTGAATAGAAAGAGGGACTTTTTTCTTTCATTTTTGTTGACTGAAAAAGGTCGTAGCTTTTTGGGTTGTGTCAGGGCATGCATGTACAGGCATGATTTTAAGTTTGGAAAGTCTAGTTTTTTTAAGAGTTTCTTGCCTAATTCTGCCATTTTATTGATACACTGCACAGGTTTTCACAGAACAGATAACAGGCTGAACACTACTAGTTTTGTCAGGATGCCACATTTCTCTATATACACACGACCTATATGTATGAATTCAGGTGATAGACAGCTTTATATGTTGTTGACTGTTATCAATTGTGATGATGACCTTGAATTTACAAATGTATATTTTCCGAATCACTTATTGTTTGTTTAGAAGGTTGTCAGAGGTACCCAAACTACAACAAAGAGTCCATTTTTTTTGCATTAGGTGCTGTTAGTATGTGCTTTCTGGGGGACTAAATGGAGGAGAAATTTGCTTCATATCATCTTGAAATATGTGAAATATTATGAATGGTGCTTTGAGACACTATAGCTACATGGGGAGATATTATTCAGTGCACTCACTGCGAAATAGAATGTATTTTGGTATGATCATGGAATCGAAATGTACAAAGTGTAATACGGAAAGAAAGAAGATAGTTTGCCATATCTTATTGTAATAAAAATCACAGGGTATATTGATTATTTTATAGTTCTTAGAGATTGTAATATGTACAGTATATGTTAAAATATTGTTCAATATTTGTGTACTAACGATGAAATTGTGGATGTTGATATTTTCCTTAGAGAATAAAGTTGTGGATGGTATAATAATTTTGCATTCCTCATTTTACTTACAGTATAGTCATAAATGTTTCAACTAAAAGCAAATTTCTGATCATTGAATGATAGAAATCAGCGCTTTAATCCATTCAAAATTCTATAGCGAAAAATGTGTTTTCCAGGATTTCAGCATATTTTGTCACGTCTTTTACAAATACTGCACAGTATACATACAGTGCTCTTAGTTATCCTAATACTTAATGCATATATTATATATAGTGATGTTTGTTAAATTTACCTTATATGTTAGTTAACATTTGCTTTGCCATAACCTGATATCACACCAACCGTGTTAGAAGCATGTTTGCATATTAAGTGTACGCTTACCTATAAAAAAAAACGTTTTAGCATTTTGGTATTCGGAACCAAATTTTCCCTCATACAATTGAAGTATATTATAGTGATGGCAATTACGAGACATTCCCGTGAAAATGGCTTTACTTAACACTGCCTAATATGCACTAAGTGTTTGTTCTGGAGCCTGGTAACCACTACACAATTCAGCTCGTATTAACTTCCAAACTAATAAGCCAAAGCTGTTAGGATCATTTCTGATGTTCCTTCTGGAACTTATCGCAGTGATGGACATTTTCTCTCACGTGCCCCTGAACCCACCGGCGATGTCAGTGTACACCAGATCAAGCCCGGCATGGTTCACGGGAGAGGGTGTCTGGGGGGAGGGGAGACGACGATCCTGAAATGATAAAAACGTACATAGTGTTGGCAAAAAGCGGGAAATAAAGACTAGCTGACATAAAATCTGCGGTGAGATGGTAGGCGCGATGAATTTTAGTTCCATTTCTTCGGAAACCAATCTACTGCGAAGCGAATATCTGATGCCTCAAACGTTGCAAAACTATAATTTCAAGGATTTATAGACTTGCTTCGATTAGAAACGGACAAGTTAGGAATTCGAAGGCTCGCTTTTGCCGTCTTCCTCAACGATATTCTCTGAGCAACGTTCCATCGTCCTCTTTATCCTACCCAAATCATTTGTGATCTCTCCCTTGGTGTGATGTTTAAAATAGTGAAAATAGTATGAATGAGACAATCCGAAAGTCATGTTTTCTGTATTTTTATAACATGTTACCGTGACCTGAATAAGAAAACATAAGTTACAAATTGTCGTACCGTCTGATCGACGTCAAATGCATCGATATCGTCGTCAGAAAAAAATGGCGAGCAGTGTCATTTTTCACTGGATGAACACGAACAAGCAGTGTGCGCAAACCCCGCGGGCTCTGCCGGCAATTTGAGCCAGAACAAAAGGCAAAAAACCCTGGCCTTTGGCCTTTGCGACGACACCGCAACAATACAAACCTGTTGCCTCCTAAATCCGTAACTGATAAAATCAACATGACATGCATGGCCTTTCTCTATATTAGTGCTCTGTTGGTTCTTGTTGCTAACAGATCGCAAGCTTTGGACATCCGTGTCCACTTGAATGTTACATCATGCCAGTATATACACACAACGTTATATCTGAACTTAGAAAAAAACGATATTTATTTTATAACATATTGTTAAGTACATGCCGTGTGTATGGATGGGGAAAGATGCATTAAACCACTAGTATAGTATTAGATTGAAGTATATGACGAATATATGTATATCATATGGAAGTGATATTGTATGGATACAATGCCTGATATGTATAAAGTTATGTTAGTAGAAACAATCATAATTGTGAATTCAAGGAGGGAAGAAAAAATATAAAAGTTATTAACGCCGTTACTGATGATATCATGTTTCCGTTAAAATTTTCAATTAGATGTATGGAAGCTCTTAAATATATACATTTCAGAATTTAATCATTTAAAATTAACAATATAATGCCAATTAGGCCAGTTGAACTAATGGTACTCAAATTCGTTCGCTCCAAAGAACAAAGTTTCATTGAAGAAGGTCTATGTAGATTATAGTGATTTAAAAATCGCTATTGTCAATGTATGATAACCAACTGTTGAAC